GTGTGCTCTTCCGATCTCCCCAAAACCCCAAAACCCCTCATTCTATAAATATCAAAAAAGATCACAGAATAGGTTAGTTTTATTCACTTAATAAATATTAATTGACTTAGTTAAATATTACAAGTAACTTTATAAATAAGTAATAATGAAGTATTTCATACAGTAGAATAAGTAAGTTCTTCCTAAAATGTTTGGAATTAGGAATCCAGTATTCTTTCATAATTTTATTGTCTTTATTACCCAGTTTTCTTCTACCCCCTCTTCCGAGTTTATAGCAACTATTCCACATAAATTTCATCTTGGTCTTCAATGTCAGAGTTTAAATGCCAGAACGAAACAGAATAGTCCCTTTCTTCTTCTAGAATAAGGTTTTGCTCTTCTTAGAAAAAAGTATCAAAACTCCTTGGGGTTTCAGAAAGGTCTATAGATGGTCTAAAATGAGATTTAATGCTTTAGGGAGTATTTGTACGAGTCGAGTCCTTAAGGGCTTTACTAATATTACCAAGATCCTCAAAATATTGTTCTTACAAAACCAGGCTTTACTACCTACTAAGGCCATCACCAGTCTCTGTAGTATTCATTTACTCAGTCTTTTGCTCTTAGTCATGGCATTTTTAGTTTTTATCGAATAACCAGCTAAGATCCTGAGTTTCTGAGATTTATATTGAGTTTTTGCGTACCTGAGCAATTCTATATTGCTTACTTTAGCTTCCTTAATATCTTAGGTAATTCAGGACAGATAGACATTAGTTATGACACTATCGGTAAACATTAGTACAGCTACTTTTTTTGCTCACAAAAAGTGTACACTCTTCGATTGACTTTATTTCAGAGAGTGAATTATTGCCTTGCTTATCTATTTCTACATAGAGCTTTCCATTACAGTGACTGTGCTTGCTCTAGCTGCACCTAAAAAAGAATCTTTGCTTGTCTGGCGTGCTTGTTTTTTTCTGGGATTATGGTTAAATAAACGAGGCTAGAATACTTCCGATGTTCACTAATATTTTAGGTTTGCCTTAAAGTGATTTTTGAATCTTGATATATCCAACTAGTGCATCAGAATCAATTTATACTAAGTTTTTATCATCATTAGAGTAAGACATTGCAACAAATCCGTGCTACTGCGTTGACAAAAATTAAAATTTAAAATTATCTAATTATAGTAGTTTTAATTGATATATATAAGTACATACGTCCATACAAACATTATTTTTTGATTAATAAATAGGATTTATACTAAAATATTAACTATTAAGACTTAATTCTTTATCCAAAATTATACTATTGATTATATCCAGATACTCCACCTTGGAATCATCTATAAAGCTGATTATTGTTTCCATACATCTGAGCCTAGTTGTAGTCTTGATCTCCTAAACCATAATCTTATCTGAGTCTTAAAGGTTCGTCTCTGTTGTAACCTGTGTTATCCATCTGTTGCTGAAACATTGCACTATTACCACCATAATCAGGGGAGGGATTTTGCTCGTTGTTGTAATTGGCATATTTATCATATTTAAAAGTACCTGGAGCAGCACCTATACTCATCTCCAAAGCCTTCTTTGCTATCATATCTTCCTACTTTTCAATCAAATCGTCTTCTTCTTGCTGATCGTATTAATTCATAAAGTTTTAACCTGTTTCCATTACTGTTTGCTATTAGTTAGTCTATATAGGTTCATCTTCATCATGATAGTGATTATACTCAAAGTTCACAGTCTCATGTTACTCCAACTCAGGCAACCTGCTTATCATAGGTGGTTTCCACTTTATTGCACTTTGACTGAAAAGCTCATGAAGTGGATATCCTTAGATTATAATGAGGATCCCGATGATTAAAGCAAATGCCCCTATCATAGCAGCATTCCTTGATCTTTCACTTACTAGATTATCCTGGCTGTTTTCAAAGTATAACTTTTGATTAGAGCTAAGTCTTTTCCAAACAGTAGCACAGGTAGCATCCATGTTACTGAACTCAACTCCAAGTTCTACTATGCCTAAAACCACAATTATAAGTCCATAGAGAGGGGAAGTAAATCTCCAAAAAATCAAGGCATTTCTATATCCAAAGTTGACTATCTCATACTAAAGATAAAGCACAAAAAGAGTGATAAATGTCAAAATAAAATAAGCAATACTTGCACCTGCTGACACTGCTATTCCGTTGGTCTATGGCACAGCATTTTGCGCATATCTATACAGTTATTAATGAGAAATTAAGATCTACAGCGGAAGGTGCTCAATAAATTGAAAAAGTGAACTTTACTTACGCTAGCACTTGCAAGAAGATTATAGTAATAAACACTGTGAAGATTATCATGACTAGGTTAATGTTCCTATACTTAAGCACCTCTTTATTTTCTTCTTCCTACTAGATTTGTTTAAGAACCAGCTTCTTTTGATTTTAAAGTAGGCGTTGATTCTCTCCTCTTTTATTGTTCTATAGACCTAGCTGGCCTATTCCTGGAGATTAATTCAACAATGAAGGCTCTTAGTTCAGGCCAAGTTTAGGCATATTAATACTTGGTTCATTACCACCTCCAAAGCCCCCCAGACCATCCTCATCTAGTCTATTCTAGCCTGGATTAAAAAGTCCATCGTCGTAAAGGTCTTATCCAATTTAATTGTTACCTCCATCATCATATTTCTACGCTATTTCACTTGTTATAGACTATCTAGAAAACTGCATATCATTATCACGAATGCCGCCTAGTTCAGGACTATGAGCGTAATTCTAGCTAATGCCATCATCCTCGAACTTGAAATCACTTCTATCACCTATGTCTCCCTCATATTAGCTTAAGTTATTGTTTCTATGCGGACTTGCCATTTTAAATTCAACTTATTTATTTGTTGCTATTCAAATTCGTATTCTTTCATTTCTCATGGGGTTTTGGGGTTTTGGGGTTTTGGGG